TTTAGTTAACGACGGTGATTATATACAGGCCGTAATTGATCGTAATTTAGCGGAAAATATATCCAGAGTGCTTTATCCCAATGACAACTTTTTCGAAGGCAAAGAGCTCAGATTAAAGCAGGAATACTTCATGGTAGCTGCTACTCTGCAAGATATTATTCGAAGATATAAATCTAGCAAATTCGGTTCAAGAGAACATCATAGAACCGATTTCGATTCTTTCCCGGATAAAGTAGCGATTCAACTTAACGATACGCATCCTTCTCTAGCTATTCCTGAATTGATGAGGATCCTTGTCGATGTAGAGAAACTTTCCTGGGATAAGGTATTTACAATCTATCATAGAGTAGTGCCATTTGTATATCCAAAATATAAAAAGTATTATTTTAAAAGAAAATATGCACTAGCGAGGATTTAAAATATGTACTAAAAATGCTATTATTTTTTTTTTCATCTATTAAATTTTTTAATAATATTTAGAGAATGTTAAAAAAAATAATCTCTTCAAGATAATAATTTTTTTTTTCAAAAATGCAAATGACATTCTTGACAGGTACATCAATAAATTTGATAGATGTAGATTATTATGTAACTAATAATAAGCTAGTTTTATCATATATAAACGTTCAAAATGAACATTTTTTTGGAATATCTTTCAGGCTTGGGACATTACAACGCGTACATGCGCTTACACAAATCATACGGTCCTTCCTGAAGCATTGGAACGATGGCCCACTAGCATGTTGGAGAGTATACTTCCAAGACACTTGCAAATCATTTATCAGATAAATCATTCACATCTTCAAAATGTCGCAGCCAAATGGCCCGGCAACATGGATCGCATTCGTAGGATGTCTTTAATAGAAGAGGACGGCGAGAAAAGAGTTAATATGGCTCATCTGTCAATCGTTGGTAGTCACGCTATAAATGGAGTCGCCCGTATTCATTCGGAAATTCTCAAAGATAGTGTGTACGTGTTGAGAATTATATTTATATGATTTTATCCAAATTTTAAATCCAGAAAATTCATAACATATCAATATCTCTTTTGCTTTATTAGCTTCCGAGATTTTTATGAATTGACACCGGAGAAGTTTCAAAACAAGACGAACGGCATTACACCGAGGAGATGGTTATTACTTTGCAATCCTAATCTATCTGATATCATTGAAGAAGTGAGTATTCAATTATATAATGTCTTTTTTTAATAATGCTATTTCTACATATCTCTTTTATGTATGACTTTATGGGATATATTTTATAATTTTTAGAAAATTGGTAGCGAATGGTCAGTCCATTTAGAACAGTTAGTGCAATTGAAGAAATGGGCAAAAGATCCAGTATTTCAACGTAACATCGTTAAAGTCAAACAGGAAAACAAACTACGATTATCCCAAATATTAGAGAAAGACTACGGCGTTCGAATTAATTCAGCATCTATTTTTGATATCCAGGTTAGAACATAGACAGCAAGAATATAAGTTATCTGTAATATAAAATGTCCTTTTCATTATAGATTTTTTGGTTAATTTGTTATTGATTATTAATTTGTTATTTTAAATATATAAAAATGTCAAGGCACTTATGTACTTTTACAAATAATTAAAAATTGAAAATTAAAATCTTTTGGCAAAAAAACAGAATTTTAGAAAAAATCACAAATTGTTATAATCTTTAGTTACTTTTTATTGAGTTTTAATAGAATTTAAATTTTGAATTTTTTTATATTATGCAAATACAAAACAAAAATACAAAAGATGTAAGAAAAAATTAATAATCTGATGGTTTTATCAGAAAAAAATATTTTCTCCATTGGCTAAAGAAGCTATAATTGAAAGGATGGTTTTGGAATGCTTTATAATACACGATATGATAATATAATGCATAAAATATCCTAAGATTCATATATAAATTCAACAATTTAGTTTTAAAATGACAGGAAGATTGAATTGAATGATATTTTATTGGCACAGGTAAAGCGTATACACGAGTACAAACGACAACTGTTAAATTGTTTACACGTCATCACTTTGTACAATCGAATAAAAAAGAATCCATCCGCACCTTTTGTCCCAAGAACTGTAATGATAGGAGGCAAAGCTGCGCCAGGTTATCATTTGGCAAAGAAAATCATTCAGCTTATCTGTAGCGTCGGCAATGTTGTCAATAATGATCCGATCGTCGGCGATAAACTTAAATTGATCTTCCTTGAGAATTATCGCGTAACCTTGGCCGAAAAAATTATACCTGCCGCGGATTTGAGCGAACAGATTTCAACCGCTGGCACTGAAGCGTCTGGTACTGGCAACATGAAGTTTATGGTCAGTAGCTTTTGATAATAACATGAGACTAAGCTTATAGTATGTGCGTTCATTTAAAACTTATAACATTTAAAATTTGTCACGAGAGTTAATCTCATTATCAATATCATTTGGTGAATGTAGAATATGTGAATAATATTTTAATTATATTTTATTATCTTACTTATCACACATACTTAATATTTTATTACGATCGTATATATGCATGTTATTTTATTATGAAATTTAGATTATTTATATAACAAGATTATATATTATATTATAATTATAATTATAGTTGAATGGTGCGTTGACCATTGGCACCTTGGACGGAGCAAACGTAGAAATGGCAGAGGAAATGGGCTCGGAGAATATCTTTATTTTCGGTATGACAGTAGAGGAAGTGGAAGCCTTAAAAAGTAAAGGCTACAATGCTTACGATTATTATAACAAACTGCCCGAAGCGAAACAGTGTATCGATCAAATTCAAGGAGGATTCTTCAGCCCGAATAATCCCGATGAATTTCGAGATATCGCAGATGTATTACTCAAATGGGACAGATTCTTAACTTTAGCTGATTATGAGAGCTATATAAAAATGCAAGATTATGTCAGCAAAGTCTATCAGGTATTTGATCATTTAAAAAAAATTAACTTTTCATTGCACATGAATTTCTACTTATAAAAAAATGATCGGCAGCTCACTTGTTTATCGTGAAATTGTTTATTGATTGTTCCAGGACGAAAGCAAATGGGTCGAAATGGCTATTCATAACATTGCGTCATCTGGAAAATTCTCGTCTGATCGTACAATTGCGGAATACGCGCGTGAGATTTGGGATGTCGAACCGAACTGGCAGAAACTTCCGGATCCGCACGAGCCCCGTGACATTTAAACGCGTTGCCATGACTAAAATAGTTACATAGTTTTTCTTTTTACATAAGATGTTCCAATACTTGTCTGTTTCCTTTCGCGATTAATATGTCCTCCTGTCACAAACATAATGACAACGAACTCTAACTGCTGATAACTGGCACCGTCCAGAACTTCGTTATAATCGCACAAAACAATAGAAATGATCGCGTGTGAGGTAGGTTACACATCGTGATATATTATCTCGCAATATTCTGTGAATATTTATATACAAAAACGAGAGGATTTTTTAACTTAATGAATATTCGCGGTTGCTTAAATGTTTCGCATATACTTCGCGAGGTATCATTAACTCTTTTACATTTAATTTTGATGACGAATGAAAAAACTAATTGAAACGTGCTATCATTATATGACACGCTACTTTGCTCTAACAAAATATATTTTTTTTCATCTATAGAATTAAAGAGACAAATTTTATTATATTTATATAAATAAATATATATTACATATGACCTTATTTTAACTTATTAAACATAAAAATATATACATTTTTTATGTATAATAAGTTAAACTAAGATCATGTGTAATATATAAAATACAATATATTCAATATATATACAATATATATTACATATATAGTAAGTTAATAAGTCGGTGTTCAAATTCTTATAAATCGGCAGTTAAACAATAAATTAACAGTAGAATAAATAATCGTGATATGACATGCTGTTTGAACAGAGCATCATTGAGAAAGAAGATAAGAATTTATTGTTTTAAAGATACTTAAAAGTCATAAGACGTCATTAGGAGGCTCATTAAGAGGCCTTGAAGATGTCTTTTAAATTTATCTGTTATTTAAGAAGAAGATGAAAGAGAGAGATAGTAATAGAAAACAAAAATTATTTTACTCTTTATTGCTATCTCTTGTTCAATAGCCACTGAATAATCAATCGATGTGTTATATTACGATTTCCATTCCTAGGCATTTCCTAGGCGTTTTCTATGCATAATTGAAAAATTTATCTAATTGATAAAAATTTTGGCAAATTTTACATATTTTTATGTACGTGATAAATGTGCAAAGTGATAAAAATTTTCAGTAGCGAAAAAATTAAAGAATTACGTGATACCAACAAGTTTTTAGCAATGTGTCTTCCGCGCGAGTATCCATTTTGAATTTTCTAGTCTAATTGTGTTCGATATATTTCTGGCCGTGCGTTATTCATATTAAAATAATCAATATAAATATATTTTTAAAATAATAATAAATTTTCTTAATCTCGTTGAGTAAAATATATTTGACGATAACAGAAAAAAATTATATATGAATCATATCATTATCTTATCTTATCATTAATGCCAATGCCAGATAAACTCACTTACTATTTTCGTGCTAATTAAATCGTGGTACAGTGCTTGTCTATTAGATGTTACAAGCATTTACATGATATTTAAATAATATAAAATATTGTATAAATTATAAAAAAGGACATTGTAATTTGTTGAAATAAAATTTATGGCAAGTATTTTTTTGAAAATATTTTGTAGGAAAACAAAGTTTTCTTAATTTTTGATAAGTTCATAAAATTTAGATTCTTTTTTTATTATTAAATTCAGTTAATAAATTAATATTAATTTGATATCACACACAACAGATCCATATTTATATCAAATTAATATGCAAATTTAGAAATATGTGGAAAACGATCCATTTCCGAGAGACGTAAACATAATTTCTTATTTCTTGACATAGCAATAAATTTAATTGATATTAATTTATATTGCACTGTTTTTGATATAAAAATTAGTTTATATATTCGAAAAAAAAAAGAAAAAAGTCAAGCGAGGAAATGATCGATTGAAGACTGTATATTCGTTACAAGTCATTTTCTAGTGTGGGCTCGCGCAATCGCAAGTGCATTTGTCGTATATGTATATGTACATGTTAAAGCGGAGGTGGAAGCGGACGAGAATAGACGGGACAAACACAGACAGCCGCGCGAGCGAAGGCGGCTGAGAGAGCGAAAGCCACGTTCTATTCGCATGAGTGTACAATGCGTTGGCACGTTCTGCATTCGAGAGAAGTATAGTATTCGTCGTCTGTAGTTCCATCGAGTAGACTTTTGTGTGTCCAGGACAGCATGTCATCTCTGTCCGATAACATCCATGTCCTGGCCAGGCAAGAGGCGTTCAAGGATTTCTCTTATTTCGATGAGGAGACCGTGCCCGCGGTGAGTACGCACCAGAGACACCCAGGTCTTTACTTAGTCTCCATCGAGGCCATCGCGAGTCTGCGTGTTTTCCTCCTTAGCACGTGTTTGACACCAAATGTTTATCGGTATACCTGTACCTGTATACCTGTTCATCGATGAAGCTCGGTTTGTGTATTCGCGCGTTTTGTTCTCCAGGTATGCATATCAAATGATTGTCACAGGTAAAGTTTTATTGCGTATTTCTTGTAGACCTAACTTCATTAATGATAAATAATTTTTTTATAACATATGTGTTTATCCACGAAGATACTTTTTATAATATTAATATTATTCTAATATTTTTATATAATATTAACGTTATATTAAAATTTTAGAAAAATAAGATTTCGGAGATAAATTTAAAAATTCTATTATAGGAAGAAAGTGTGTGAGAAATTAGGTAATAAAAGCCTGCTATATTATGAATAGTAGGTTTTTTAACATATGGAGCATATGGACATAATAATTTATTGTAATAATATTCTTGAGAGAGAGTTATTATTCGTGAGAGTTATGTAAGATGATGTGAAAAAGAGAATTATTACTATTGCGATTACTGCATATGTGGTTAAATTATTGAATACTATAGCATGTAAATCTGATAAAATAAATACTGAAGAATCTTGCTAGACTTATTATGAAATATATATTTATGAAAAAGCATTTTTAATTTGCTACTAAAGCGAAATAATTTATGCATTATGCAAACGCACATATTGCAATGAATTATTGTTTCGGTAATGGAATAAAAATCTAACACATCGAAATAATTTGCAGATTCTGCAAATAAAATTTTTATGCAAAGACCATTGCTCTTTAGACAATAATTATTTAAATTGATTATAATATGTACTTTATATATAAGCTTTCCAAAGATAGATAGAAAACAAAATCATATGAATGACAGATAGAAAACGCAACAGTGTGAGTGACAGATAGGCGATTGCTTAAGCATATGATCGGCTAAACTTTTAAATCTTATCAGTAATGTACTAATTTTTAATTGAAATTATTAATCTAATTTATTAATTTAATTGAAATGATTAATTGAAATTCATCATTATGTGAACGAGTATTTTAGTATTTTCTTAACTTTAGTACTTTTTTATGTTTCTCATGCATTCTTTTACTATAGTCTTGAGATGCAGATTTTCGAAAGCATCTTAAATAAAAGAAATTATTAATATATTTATATATAGAAACCTTCTCCTTCCCTTAATGATTATCGAATTACAAAATTTTACCCCTCGATTAATTCTAAAGATCACATAAAAAATTTTATAAAATATTATTTTTCAGTTTTTTGCAATGGAACAATACTCGTTTTATTACTATGACAATATGATAGGGCTGATTAAATATCATCTAGATAGACACGTCATTTCAATGATATGAATCATTTTTTTTTTGCGATAGTTGCGCTAAAAGTTTGAACAATCTAAACTTTTTATTATAAATCTTCAAGGATCAATTAGTATTTTTACTGTCAAATTTTATTGTTTTTTAAAAATAGTGTTTTATTTTTTTCATATTATAAAAATGGTTTATTTTTTAATTTTATTATTTTTTCTACGTAATAGATTTTCTATGTAAATATGTATATTTTCTTATAATTTTTTAAATTTGCATTTTAAATTAATGTGTTGAAATGAAATAATTAATAAAATAGAATAAAAATATGCAGACATCGTTATATACATAATTAAATAAAATATTTGTAGTTTCTTACTTATATAAATGTTAGATTATAAAATGTTTCATGATCATTAATGATTTGTATATTTAAATGATGTATTTTATATATGATATATTTTAATGTTAATATATAAACTATGTGAAAGAAAGAATTGACACGTCATCGGGTAATTATAACAGATGATATAATCGAGATATTAGTATTCTTATCTTCTATTATCGCGTGCTTATACTCGTGTAGAGAAGCATAATATTTATTGTAGGTAGAGGCTGCGTACATAGTGATAAGTTGCTGTAGTCGATCGCAGTGATGTTGAAAGTTTCAGATATTGTCGTACAGAAAGTTAACAATGATTCGTATACAAACACTGACGAGTATTTATGTACGAAAATCATTGTTACAATTTAATTGATTTGATGTGCATCATATTATATGTGTTTCAGAATGTCGGCAAATTAATTCCACTGCAATTTTTAAAACCGACATCCGCCATCATTCTCACCGGATACATTCCTGAAAACGCATCGAGGTACTCATTTCGAATTATTATATTTCATATGTATGATTATTATTCTTGATATTCTTGAGATTTATGGAATCTTACTTTCAATACATTATTTTCTATCGAATATTATATTTAATTATATCTAATTGAATTCTTTTAATTTGTAGTCAATTTAATATCGAAATATAATTTTCATTATATGAATAATCGAGAACAACTAAACTTTTCTGCGAGTTAAAGATATAAAAATGTCAAATAAAGATATCAAATAGATTACAAAATTACATTTTTTTAGCTATTTTTTTAAATATAATTTACTTTAATTCAATAGAATTTTTATATAAAACTTAATTGTAAAGATATATATAATATTAGAAAAGATGCAATAAATAATGATTACTTCTGATATTTTCATTGTATAAAGAATATTTTTATCTAATTTGTATGTCTCTGAAATAATCTTTGTTATTATTAAAATATAATTGAAATATAATTGAAATATGTAAGAAAGAAATTATTATACAGAAAGTTGAAATTGTTATGTATATAAAATAAATATATTATACTCTTCTCAATTTCTTTAATTTATTTTTTATCATTTATAAATACTAGTAAAATTCATAATGTTGTCAACTATTTAAAAAAATATAAATAATCTTCAAATTTCATAAAAGAAAACAGCTTTGATAAAAAGGTTTTAATAGTTATATTTACTTCTTTGAATTAAAAATAATAATTTCTTTTATTTTAATAATTTCTTTCTTATATAAATGATATTATCAAGTTAAATTATATGTACATCTTATATTGTTTATTTCATGGAAGCTTTTAAAGAGTTACTACTAGTCCTTTTTTGCCAGTTATTAATGAGCGTTTTAATTTATAATATTATTTATTATAAAAAGAGTTTAGAGAGTAGTCAAATCTATCTATATATAGTGCTTTGAGATTATTAAATCGATTTTTTAAAGAAAGATTTTAAAATTGTTACATCGAGAGATTTCTTTCTCATTCATAACACACTTTTACTTTAGGTTTTCGGTGAATTTAACATGCAAGACATCTGGAAACATCGCTTTGCATTTTAATCCACGACTAGACAGAGGTTATATTGTCAGGAACACGAGATTACGCGGATCCTGGGAAAATGAAGAGACTTGTTCACCCGCTGGTTCAAGCGGATGCATTTTCCGTCGGAACAGCTACATGCATCTTATGATTTTTTGTACGAATGATGCGTTTCAGGTGATATACATAAAATATTTTAAAATGAGCGGATATCCTCTTAATTCACGCGATAACATCCTCCTAAATTTTTTTTAGAAGATTATATATTGCAACTATAAGTAAATTTTTTATATTTTAATTGTCATTTCTTGCAGATTGCGATAAATGGAGAACACTTCTGTTCCTTTTACTATAGATTGCCTCTCGCAGATATAACAGCTCTTGAAGTCAACGGCACTATCGAGGATATTAGAACTCGTCAACTTAATTTATTTGTATATCCAGATCCTAATATTTGTCGGCCATCCCGAACATTGATTCTGACAACCGAAGAACCGCTCGTAGATTTTCTAGTAAGATTAATCATTTTTTGAAAAATAAAATCGAAAGATTAATTCATAGAATGTAATTAAATGAAAAACAAAATACTAATAATTTGCTTTTATTTCTAATAGACATTTATTTATTTACATTAATAATTTGCAGCATTCTTGCAAAGATGGAAGATTTTGTATTGTAGGCACTTTAAATAATATAAAAAAATATAATAATATAAAAAAATATTTTAATTTTAATTTTTGAGACTTTTATCTAAAATTTTTTAGTAAAAATTAGATACATCTGTGTCGTAAATAATCCCACATAAATTTATGCATGCTTCTGATCACAATTATTCTATATCGGATAATTATTGGAAAAATGTTTTTTTAAATTTTGAACTTTTCCTAGAGATAGAAACTTCTTTTTCATACAAGATAATATTCTTTGAAGATAATATTACTCCATATTTATTTACTTTATAATACGAACAAAACTTGATATCTCTTTTTATAGGACGTTCCCATCACTGTGGGTATCGGTAGTGAATTTCGTGTCGGTGCTAGTTTACTCATCGCTGGAAGATTGAAGTTACTTCCACACTCGTGAGCGTTTGAGATTGTAATCTACGGCGTTTACAATATTCTTCTACGTTTGCCTTTGCAAACGAGATGTATCACGATCTTTTGCAGATTTTACGTGAATCTGCAGAGGGGCAAAACCATTTATCCTCATCCCCTTATACCACTGCATTTAAACCCACGCTTTTTATATGGCAATAGCGCGCCATATGTGGTCATGAATTGCTGGAACAATGGCACGTGGGATCACGAAGAACGACATCAAGGTCATTTATCTTGGATGCCCGGCCGAGATTTCTTGCTCACGTAAGATATCCGCGATTTCGCGAATTTTCAAAAGAATTCATCATGCAGAAATATTGTTTATCGTTGTTGATTTCCGTTGTAACAGATTCGTGTTTGCTTTAATAGCATTCGATGCGAGTACGAAGGATACACAATATGGCTGGATAATAAGATGATCGGTGAATTTAAGCATAGATTGCAATCATCAATTGTGGATACTCTACGAATATCTGGCGATGTCGTACTTTATCAACTCAGTATGAATTGATTGAACCTCATCAGACTATAATACGTATATGCAGTATGTATATGCAGTAATTGAAGAATGATTGTATATTAGAGCGCGGAGGTTCATGAGATTTCATGTTTCAGCCTTTTCAATGATCGCGACATATGTGATGCCGATGTATTTTCGATATAATGCTAAGGTTTTCACACACTTTTCTTGGTATCATATTTATATATATATTTACATTTATATATATTACGAGAGCTATTTATTTACGAGAATAAATCAATTTCAAACAAACAATTTATGATTTATTCATATACATATAATATATATTCCATGTATTAGATTATCGAGATGTATTAAAGCGACTTGTAAGAAAACATACTTTCATATTTTAACTAACTTATGCACACTATTGCCATTGTTGCTAGAATCAAACAAAATAGTGCAAAGGCGATACGATCAATGGCCGTGCCCGCGAGAATCCATTCCAACTGCGTGGTGTTCTTTGTTGGCGAAATTATATTCTGTCGATCTCCATCGTCTGAAATATTAGACGTCGAATTGGTAGTGGATTCCTCTGTAAGCTTACTACGCAATTCTTGTCCTGGCATAGGCCGTCGCGATTCGATCTGAAAAAAATTATTATCAATGATAAATGAACAATTTATTAATAACTATAGTATCTCTCAAAACGTGCAATATTTTAATAGAAAAAAATTACGAACGTTACTTGTGTATGTGTGATTTTGAAAATTACAAATATTATTATATTATGATAGAAAATTACAATAAACATTAGTAAATTTTTTTAAACTATAGGAGTAATATTTTATTAAAAAAATGATTTACTCAAAAAAATATAAATCATTTTAATATATTGGAAAAAGCTTGTTTCATATATTTCGAGTAATATAAATAATTGCTTAAAATTTGATAACTAAAATAAAATGTTCAAAGACAAATAATATAAGAATAAATTAAAGAGAGAGAGAGAGAGAGAATATATACACATATAATTAAATATATTTATTAATGAATATCTATGACGTAATTAAAACGTTAATTAATTAATTACCACACTTATAAGCTCGGAAAGTCCTAACAGTTTTCCAGGCCAACTTAATAGACACAGTCTGATATTCCGTGGAAGTGGTTTGCAGAATGTTCTTTTTGACATATTAATCACCAATATTGATAATATCAATGAAATTGTTACTAGACAGAGACAACCACTATAGAAGTAAACTGCAAAAATAAACATTAGTCAACGACGATGTATATATTGTCATCTTTACATATAGTGAAATATTTAATCATTTTAAAAGAACAAATATTTTCTCTTGCCAATAATTAAATATATGTATAATTATTTAATTCAATATATTTTATTAATTTATTGATTCTTGCTGGTCTTATTGTTGGAATTCGAATTATTATTTAGTGTTAAAATAATCTAATATATGTATACATATACAACATCATATGCAACGTGATATTTTATTACAATATGTAGCTTTAAAATTCTATTATTTATTATTATTTATTTAGTATCACGTATTAGTATTATGCATTTATGTATGCAAAAGTGGAAAAGTATAAATAATTAAAATTTTTTTTCTTTGAATATTTTAAATGATTTAATATTAATTTTTTAAAATTAATTTAATATTAATTTCATAGTAACATATTTGTTTCAAGATTTTTTTTTAAACTGTAAATATCAATTTAAATTTTGCAAAAATAACTGATATTTCTCTACTATTTAATTATTATTAAAATTTATTGTCAGTTCAAAATTAGAACTTGGACATAATATATCAGGTAGACTCAAATCAATTAAAACATTTGTTCTTCTAAACTGAACAAATTTTTTACTGTGTAGCATGTGGTTAATTAATTTTCTTTAAAACGTAATTGAAAAGAATTGAGAAAATTTTACAAAAATCAGGCTTTCATTAGTCTACCTATGAGCGGAGGATTCGAAGTTAATGGTACTTTAAGGCCGAAGAAGGCTAAAAATACGGCAATGATTAATACAGTACAGGCCGCAACACTAATCTTCATTTCACTTTGAGGTGGTAGCCAAAACGTGACCAGAACCAGGAAAACTATAGCTGAAAGTTCATATCATAAATTAAATGGATTAAGTTCAGAATTAGTGATTGTGTGTGATAAGTTTAGGTTTCAGATTAATTTTACAGTCAGTTAACTCGGAAATGATCGCAACGGTTGTCATGTGTGTGTGATACAGGCTTCCACATTTTTTAAATCACGCTATTATAATATTTTGTATAACACTCAATAAAATAAATAGAATATATATTTATAATAATATATATATATATATATATATATATATATATAAATATTTTTTTTATAAAACATATTTTTTTAATAAAAATATATATTTGATCTTTCAAGAAGGCTATGTAAACAAAAGTCGAATAGTATGTATAAACATTTAATGTTAATTAAACGATAATTAATGATACTTACCGGCAGCAGGCATTAGCAATATACTGCAATAAAGTCCTGAGTTTCTCTTTAAGGTCAACTTAAAATTTAAGTTGATATATGCATCCGGACAACAAGCGTATACGACTGCTTCGCGATGTTTACTCACATCCAATAGCTTCCACGCCGCATTTTTTACATACATAAATTCCTATTAAAAACATTAATATCTTAATTTATAATAACATCCTTGAATTATATATAACTCGAAATTATTTAAAATATTAATTGATCCTTTTTTACAATAAATATTGTAAGCATTTAAACTTGAAATTTGAAGGAATTATTTTTATTTTTTATGTCATCTCGTCTTGTTACTCAAGAGAATAAAAATTTAGAGAAATATATTTAAAACTTTTAAAATTTAATTTGTAATATATATTGTATTAATGATAAGTATGAGACATGAAGTATACGAAAGTGTGCATATAAAAAATAAAATATCTTAAACAATCCTCTTGGTGAATGAAAGTAAAAATAAAGAGAAAATCAATGAAAATCAATAGCAAATCTTAAATATCAAAATAAAAAGATATGTATATTTATATATATTTTTGTGGTATTTTAAAACTTATTTTCAAAAATATAAGATGCAAAAAAATTTGTATGATAAAATCGCGATACACAATCTTTTTACACTTTACGTATAAAAAATTAACACGATTAAATTTCCCATACCATACTGGTTTTCTTGCCTATTTGCATATCAATTTGTTCGCCGTGATACGTCCAAGAACCGAACGTCATGTTACAAATCTGCGTATCAAAGGGCCATAGACGAAGATCCAAATCACAAAGTCCGACAAATTGCGCTGGCGGTACCCATAAAACTCGACCGTCATGGTATATAATGCAGGTCGCATCGCCGTAATGCTCGACCGTACTCGAAGTTCCGCTAGATAAAAAATATACCTCGAATAATTTATGTAATTTTTTTAGACATTTCTTTTTATCGATAATCGAAGTATAGTGTCACGTATACCTATGATACAATAGAATGTCCGGTTGCCATACTTCGTGGTTCCCTACATGAATATGTTGGAGATTGCCGTATTTGGAAGGATCCCATTTGAGTTTGTCGTCTGTCCATGTCTGTATGTTAATAGGAAACAATAATCGATCCGTGAAAGTGAAATTTTAATTGCAAAACTCAACGTCATTAATTACTGGCATATATATTTTTGTTAGAAAATGCGCAAGAAATTATTCAAAACACTCCAATTATTATATTAAATATAAATATAAATATATATATATATATATATATATATATATATATACTGTTCTGAAAAATCGTATCCAATTAATACGAGATCGAGATCTTTTATGTAATAATTTTCAAATCATAAGCAATGAAAATAAAAAGAAGCTTTCCTAAAGTTAAAATTTCTAAAGTCCAGTAAGATATAAAAAATTTATACCTTCTAATTAATAATTTACAATTAAATTTTACTGTAATAAAATTTTAATTTTAATTATAAAGATATATCATATTAAAAATTACGATGCTGATGAAAATACGATGTTACGATGAATAACGATCTTCTCCGACAATTTTAATCAAAGTAATATTTTAAAATGTTTTCTACATTTAAGAATATCTCGTTTATTAATTTAATTTTTTTAGTTTTTTTATTTCAACATTCCATCAGTATATTCGATGCCCTTTTTAAAAACTTTGAAGATATAATATTATCTAAATTTATAAAAATTGGGTAGTGTTAAATGTATTAGTGCTTAAGGATTACAAAAAATATACTCTTAGCTTTACTTACATGGGAAGCCCATCCATTAATAGTGACGGTAGACTTGAAGTCATCCTGAAAATTTAGAAAGCCAGTTGTAGAATAGGGTAGAACTATATCCTCGTACGCATTTTATTATCGCGCATACTTGCCACATCGACATAAAGAATAGTAATGTCGAAGTTGACCACTGTCGTATTGAAATGTTGCGTCGGTCGAGCAAACTTATCGTATTTTACAAATAGATCTTGCTTCAATCGATCGGTCCAAGTGTAATTCCACATGGGAGACCCTGTAAATCACCGAAGGACACGTCGGAAGCTGTAATTTTCTTAATTGCGTGAGATACAACGGTTTGTACTTTGTATCACGTTTACTATTTGCAAAATGATCTTATAAATAGAATATCGAGATAATAAATTATCGAGGGGTTGTATTCGTTTTAGTTTCGTTCGTTATATCTCCTACGCGTTTTGTTTTTCTTTTTTTTTCTCCAAAGATTTTAATTTGAACGATACTTCTTAAAAATTAAGATTAGGACTGATTCTTTATTAATGAAAGCATCGGAACATTTTCCTTTTTATTGAGCCTATTTTTCTAAATTTTTGATATTATATAATATTATTTATATAACTTCTTGAATTAGAATTCTATGGGAAATCTATTTAAAATTTATCTACAATTAATTTAAAAAATATTATATTGTTACTTATATATTTGTCTTCATTAAGCCTAATTCACAAGCTTTTTTTTTATAACATAACTTAGAAACTATTCAACCCATTCTCGCTAATATAAGCAATAATCAATTTCACATTCATCAAAATAAAGATTTATAAAATATTTTCTATTTATTTAACTTTAAACGCAAAAAATTGAAGTTAAAACAAATAAACCTTATTAATATACATATTGTTGGCTGCGAATGGTATTTTGAAACATTAAGGCTCATTCATTCGCTTGATTCGCTTTGAATAACAGTACAAGTGGATAAATGACGACAATCAGCAACCGCGGATGATAAATAAGGAAGTGTATGTCCGTCGAGAAGGAATATCTCGAATATTCGTGCAAAGTGTATTTTGTATATGTGATTTCCATAATGTTAGATTCAGTTTCAATGTCACAAGTGCGTAGACATGTTAATATGATATATATGCAAACTGACAAATAATATCCAACGAAATTAATATTAGTAGTGTTATTAACAATATTGTTGGTATTTTATTTATTAAAAAATGTCATACATAGAATAACTATAGAAATTGTGATTGAAATACTATATATATATATATATATATATATATATATATATATGATTAATTGGATATATATATATATATATATATATATATATATATCTCCAATTATTCAAAGTATATAGGAACAGATATAGATCTGTTGCTATAATTACTTTTCAAAAATTAAAAATATTAACAAAGATTGTTAATACAAGAGCTATCTTTAGCTACACTCTCTAATAGAAAGAATAACTTTATGATAAGTAATTTATAATACGTAAGTAATATTTATTGTCTGATTTGTTTACTTCTAAATGCTACATTCGTGATCATCATATTTATTATTATATCTTTAAATTAGCAAATTTTTATATGACAAAATATCAATGAATTGATATCAATAAAACTATCGTGTCAATATATTACATAAGATTAAAAAAAAATAAATTATTACGAAACATCTCTCTCTTTTTATTTCTATAAAATATATATGTATATATATATATATATATTTTTTAAACTAAAGAAATCAATGAGTTTGACTACTATAATGGCTTACTTTTTAAAATGGCGATATATTATTAAACGAATAGCTTATTAATTAAATTAATGAGATAGAAACATAAATTATGCGTTTCTATATTTCTATTTTTGTCATTACGTTTCTGCAAAAATGTCGCATAATAAGTAGGATTTCAATTTTGGATCGTTTTGCGCTATATTCGTTGGTCATTCACACTTACTTTCTGTATGCGGTGTGCCGCTTGCATATAACACTATATTGTTGAATAAAATAAGCGTGATCGCCGTGATCGAGTAGATGGTGCAAGAAAGCCGCATCGCGAGCTGAAGTGCGAACCGTCGTCAAGTTGACACTGAGTATGGTGAGAAGCGCGATACGTCGGTATCGCCACAGACAAGAGTAGCAAGAAGGGGCTATCATAGATTTAAGTAGTTAACAACCTGTTGAATAGACATTTCGTCGCCTACCGCTGATCAATGAAACGCAATGACTTTGACCTCTTTTACTCCACCGGAGATACTCCTACATTATTTAGGCCGAACCCTTTCAATTGTGCACGTAATTGCAACAATATATTAACTGTAGCCCTTATTTTGTACAGTTAAATATTGACCAAAATAGTTTCTCTGGAACGCTTATTATATTATCTTCTGATTTTTCAAAATAAAAGATATTTCATAGTCACTAAATGGGTTCTGCAGCCAATCTGGAGATGATTTTTCGATTTAGCAAAAATATCGAGAAAGTTTGCCATTTTCATATTTTTCATTTTTTTCATATTTTTCTAATAGTATGCGATTCTCTTAATAATTGAAATTAAGTGTAACTTAATTCAATCTGTTAAAAGGTTTAACTATTTTTTTGTATTGTTTTCAATATTCACAAAAAATAACTGTATTTATAATAATTATATATAATTGTACATTACGAATATCTCGATATTTTTGTCCAAATAAAAATTTATTCTGGATCAGTCAAATAATTTGTAGTAAAATTATAGTTTAGTAGAAAAATAAAATTCTGTATAATCTGTATATAATTGCAGTATAAACTTGCTGTTAAAATCCATGTTTTTTTAATTGCTTAATATGAGTTTCCACAAATGTTGCGTGCATTACAAACGTATTTGCTACATGATAATATAAAACGATTAAATAAATATAATATAAAATAATATAATATAATATAATACAATATAATATAATTAATAATAATTTTAACAATGAAAATATATCAAAGATGTAAACAAGATTGCAAAGTAATCTAGTAATCATTCATGATCTTTAATCTCTGCTACTGGGAGAGATTTAATTATCACTTTGTTAATTTTCTCAAGAAACTATTTCTCGTAAAAGAATAGAAGTTACAGCGAAAGAATGATTCTGTTGGATATCTGTGTTAAGATTAAGACTATTGTTACAATGTCTCCATAGCACGCACAGAAGGACTAATTTAATTTTGATAAGAGATTATATATAAGTGCTGAAAGTGTCAATGTATACATATACATCATACTAAACAATATATTACGTTTGCCCCTACTCTGTTATTTATAACAATAAATATCTGCGATAATTCCCGTATTATGTGTTTTAATTATGTATTATGTAAACGAACTGTTTGATTGTGTGAAGCGAAAGATAAGCAGGGTGGAAATTCATTTAAGAGTTTAAAATCTTCTCCGCAACGAATCTAAATCCATATTTTCTCGGAAATCTATGCTCAGATAGTTTTAAAGGTAAATTGACTCAGTTTATATAGAAAACGATTGAAATTGAGCGCTTCCTTGACTTTAATGAACTTATATGAAGTGTACTTTAAAATAGATTCAGATAGGAAATATTTTTTACAAAATTTTGGTTTTGTATTTATAATTGGATTAATTTTAATGTAATATTAAGATTTAATATTATGCAAAAAAGATCCAAAAACGAAACATCTCCAATATTTTGATGAGCTGCTTCAAACATTAAATATTTTACCATATATTAAAACCATTAAATATGTTTTTACTATCTTTCAGATTTTTTAAAATCGATTTCTTAAGAAAATTTCGTTTTAATTCTAAAATAATTAATGAATGTAAAGAATCCTTTTTCGCAAACTAAATTTTGGAGAGTTATTAGTATTTCCCTCTTTCTATCTAAGCTTTATTTACAATAATTATATAACAAGACTTATGGGTTTCCTAAAAAAATCATTTTCTTAAAAAAATAAAATGAGAAAAGTATTATAAAGAGAGTGTCGAAATATTTAATGAGATAAGTATTATCAAAGAAATTTTTATTAATGCAACGTACTAGCGAGATGTTATATCTCGTTACTGTTAAATCCTACGATAACGAGCATGAATTACGAACATTTATGCAACAGTTTGCTCGATGTCGGCAATAGGGAGATAATCTTTGCGCTAATATTAAACTTGAATGCGAGTTTATGCAATAGAGCATAACACGCCCTGATCTTCTCTTCTCTATGCAAAGTATTTCTTCTTCATAAAGGGTAAAACGCTTACATATTATTCTTGACTTTCGCATACATACATTCATTTCTAGTGGAAGATGATTTCTATCTGATGTTGCTTTATTTTCTTATTATATTTAATTTGTAAAAAACTTTTTTAACTTATACTTTAAAACAGTTCTTTGAAATTTTTATTAAATCGATTATCTTTTCTTGAAAAGAAATAATTTATATATTAAGAAATTTTGTAGCCTTTTTGCTATTATTTTAAAAATATAAAAATTTTTTATTGAAAAAATGATATCTTTGTTTATCTTTTTTTACATAAGATTTATAAAAATTCTCGTATAATGCTTTTACTTTACTTTCCCATAACTTTATTCATTTCACTTTTTGATTCATCTTTGCATTGAAAATAATGAAAAATGTAAGATATAAGTCATAAAAATATAAAGAAGAGAATACAGAGAGATGAATTTACATTGCAAAATTATTATAAAATATGGCTACGCTTTGTAGGTGCGTAAGTATTAAAAGTTAAAAGCTGCGGCTGTATACTTACATTTTTTGCCTAACTTGGTATCCCTGGAGTCAGTGCAAATAGATGCAAGTTCGTGTAATGCATTTTACGTGCTTTTGGAACTATTCCAATTTTTCTCTAATATACAGATCGTTATTCAAAAGTTAAAGTCGACATAAATCAAGCGATAGCGTGATTAAACGCGCGATAAAGTTTTTCTGTCGCAGTTTTCCACTGACGTTAGAAAGATATGAAAATATTTTTGCCTCTTCTCTTCTATTGTGACATTCTCGCTAAAAAAAGATAAAAGAAACTCGGCAAGCTGAATTGAATTGAAGCAGGGAGATTCTACCTGTTGCATTTTGACAGTTATAAAACAAATCAAAAGGAAATACACGGAAAACATAAAACCGTTCTGTCGATATTCTCGTTATTTTTATGCAAAATATGACGTGTAGAAGAAAAGGGAGATAGAAACAAAGAAAGAGGGAGAGAGAGAGAGAGAAGCGAGCGAGAAAGAGAGCGAAAGAGAGAGAAAGAGAGCGAAAGATAGAAAGACGAGATCGGCGTTGACATTGTCGCTGATAACGACGATGGTAACAACGACGACAAGAATCCTCGCATCCACCCCGATTATTATTATTATTTGCCGAGAGCCATAAATAATAAAGAAGATTACGTAGGTCGGTAGCCGGTGTTAAGGTGTAATTGAATCAAAATAATGTAGAGGTATCGTGTTGTATGCTCCGGCCAATCATAACTCAGGTGAGACCATCTCCTCTCGCGACGCGAGAAAACTAGCGGCAACGGCGAGAACGCGGGAGGGGGTGATATGCGCGCCGAGGGTGTCCCTATATAAAGGGTGTCATCTCCAACCCCGGATACCCATTCCACTACCAACCACCACTAACACGCCGCAAACCACACCGTCAGCCACCACCGCGTATACTCTCTTTTTTTCTCTTCCTTTCGAAACTTGCATTCTCCGATCGGTCTACGCACCAAGAAGCTGAAAAGCCGACAATATGGTGAGTGCTTTATCGTTATCGTTATTATTCGTGAGTGAGTGGTTTATGAGTTTTTGCAGTGATACGGGAATGTTTGTGAATCAGGCTTCATCAATGACAGTGTATCGTATTTGGACTTTATAATTACCTTTGATTTCTCTCTGAATAATAATGAATATGAAGGATGTTTGATTTTTCAAGCGATCCTAAATCTTTGTCCATTTAAATTAGTGATGTCAATTGAGATAAAGAGTAATACATCTTAATTCTCATGGATATCAGAGATCTCGGATCGTATATATTTTACTTAATATTTTAATAGTTTAATTATTTTATTTTTTTTATTAGTCATACATGTGTTTTTGAAAATCTATAACTAAGTCAGTACGTTTCAGAAAGTAAAATTTTGATTTATCTATCTTTTATATATTAATGTAATATATTTAAAAAAATAGATAAAGGGAAAAAGAGATAGATATTTTGAAGTTTTATTACTGTTATCAAATCATAATCAATTGTAATATAAATGTGTCTAAGAACTTTTCTCTTCTTTCAAATTATTAGATTAATTAAAGAGTTTGTTTAGTACATTTTTTCATTAATATCTATTTTAAATAAAAAATTATATAGTTAATTTAAAAAAAAGAATTTATTTTAGATAAAAAAAATTATTCAAGTAAATGTTGAGAGAGAATGTATCTCAAATAATAAAAGCTTGAGTAAATTTGTCCGATTATATAATATTATTTTTAATTTTTCATTTGATAAGATTTCTTGCATTATAAAATTAAAGTTTCCTTACACATTGAAAAATTTTACTATAAATAATAAAAATATAAGTAAATTTCAGACATTAATGATTTCTAGTGAATAAATCTTCGCGATAAATCCTTCGTTAATTTTTACTGTGATTTTCTACTTTCGCGATATTAAGATATTTTCTTATTGCTTTTTTAATTTCAGTTTTCATCACGTTACTGCAAACTCATATTTTCTCAATGTTAAAGCAACATAATGAAACTCATATATTCTATTACAGTTTCCGTAATATACATGATGTTATTTTGTTGATTCTTTTTCATTTAAATTTATTATGACTCTTTTTTCTCTTTTTACGTAACTCTGAATTTAGCAATATGAATATTTGTTGAAAAATTTCGGGAACCATTACATTCCATTACGAAGATGGCAAAATAAAAGAATTTCATTTCTGAAAGATAATATTGAAGAAGACGTGGACAGATGTGATGAGAATTCATATACATTTTTTCACATGATATTACTTAATTCAGTTTTCTTTTCAAACATGCAATTTATGTACTTTCTAAATTTCGAAAAGTAAAGGATAATCCAATATTTGAAAAACATAGAGAGAGAGAGAGAGAGAGAGAGAAGAGAGAGAGAGAGAGAGAGAGAGAGAGAGAGAGAGAGAGAGAGAGAGAAGAGGAGTTGCATTTTTTCGGATTCGTAATATAATATTTCTAACATTATCAAATTAATACTTAATCATAGTCGATTCTATTCTTATATATTATAGAGTATTATTTATTGCTATTTTTCATAATTTTCGACATTAAATATATTGTCATAACTCAATCTCAAATCACATATTCTATGTTAAAGTTTTATATAAGTTGTAATATCCTTAAACTTGCGTTTTATTTTCATAATTTCTTAATATTATAGTAATATAATATTTAGAAAAAGAGATTTCAAAATTTATTGTGCCGTTAAATATGATTTTTGAATATATATTCTTTTTATAAAAAATAAAAATAACAAAATGTAATAAATCTTATTTTTAAATGTTGCAATTGTTTCATTCTTTTTTCTTCAATAAACAAGATAAATTTAATCCGACTTTTTAATCTTCGTTATCATAATTAGTTATGTTTGCAATTACTCTTCATCGCATTACTATTTAATCATCTCTGTTGAAAAAATCTGATTTCATCATTTTATCAAGTTTCATATATATATTTAAGAAATTTTTTATTTTTAATCATGTAAAAATTATTAAGACTACAATTATTTTTTTTTATGGAAAAAGCTATTGATCCCAAAAATATCTAAACAATTCTATTATTCTAATTATTAATTTCTATTCATGTAATAATGACGCGTATCTAATATAACTTGACGAGACATGCATCATCTCAACATCGCGTTATACGGAAAATTATATAGTATATTATTATTAACACAATATTATTTAAAAATACATAAAAATAAATATTAATTTATTAATTATATCTATAGTATCTGTCCACCTACATTAATACTCATTTCTTTCAAAATGAGGTGAATCCGCTTTTTAGCAATGCAAAATCTGTGGGCGACATGATTATGAATGGCAGTTGCGTTCAGAATTAATTAAAGTAACGTAAGGCATCGTATTAATCTTGCTCGCTTTGCCATGATATTGTTAAACAAGATATTAATATGAATAATGAGACGCCAATATAATTTATCGTGACGCATGTTGGACGTCCCTGTTGCACTACGTAATCTTAGCTGATCTCGACAAATCAATTACACATTGAGTGAAGTTACTTAGCAACTCTCCTCGGTTTATCATCTTAACCATGCTTGAGATTATAAACATAAATATAAAATGTCACGGCTTATGCTTACAGTCGTTGTTTAATTTTTAATATTTCTTTGCATATCTCTCTTTTTTCTTCTTCTCTTTTTATATTCTCTTTTATATATATTTTTGTAAGTATATACAATTTTTTAATTATTTTATATATTTTATAATTTGTATGGTAAAAATTATTAAATTAATATTATAAATATTAAATAATAATATTAAAAATATTAATTTTATAAATATTTACGTAAATTTTCTCTGACAGAAATTAATTTGTAGAATAAAACATTAAAAAAGTTCAAATTAATTTCTACACATATTACATTTGCTTCTATTTTAATTTATGCTATTTTTATCAATGTTCTTTTTTATTAAGAAAAAGTTATAAAGATTTAAAACAATCAAATAAAAAAACTTATATTATTTTATAACTTAGGATCTTAAATATAAAAAGTCGAGAAAAAATTGAGTTAAGTTAATTAAGAATTGAGCGTAGTAAATGCATTTACGGTGTGTACACATTTTCTTTAATAATAATAATGAACATTTTGGATCTTCTTTTGAATCATCCTCAGCATATAAAAATCTTTAGTTAGCTTTATAAATTTTTCATTAATCTTATTTCTTTTCGACTTCTTATATTCAATATTCTTTTTGTTACTTATTCAAGATTTTGTTACTTGTTTTTGTTACTTATTCGAAATCTTAATTTTGATGACAATTTTTTTCTTATTAATCCACAGTTGATTCTTCTTTAACAAAATATATTTAATATATTAAAATACCAATCGTTTTCGAGTTAAAAATAATTAAAAAAAAATTTTACAAACAAATTAAAGTATCTTAATAAAAATTATTAGCGTATAATATGTTACTAAAATTTAAAGACATGAATTGAAAAACAAATAGATATATACGATAATAAATACACAATTTTACCTACATACAATTTTTCAATCATAGATTGCAGTCTGGGCTTTTAATGCAATGGCATTCTTCTGCAATTGGATGCTCGTGTCTTCCTCGGTCTTAAAAGATGATAGTAGTCTGAGGATTTTCAAGGAATCACCTAATGAATTCGAATACATAATAAAAAGGCATGATATGGATGATCGTAAAGAAGATACCGAATCTAAAGAGAGGCGAAGCACTATGGGTTCCTCCTTCATCAGATTTGGACGCGGTCAATCCTTCTTCAATAATCTCGATAATTCGGCATTCGATAACGAAATCGATTCTAAAGTCAGCAGGCATCCTCGATGGAAGTCGCCGGACATCGTGATCAGATTTGGTCGGTCTGGTATGAAGAGCACAAATGACGAACAACCAAAACGCGGAAAAAACGATCTTAATTTCATCAGGTATTTATTTAATTGCACTTTTAATGTCGCAATTATTGAGATATAAACTCTTGCTAGAAATAAATTATGTATATGAAAATACATTATACATATCATACGTATCATATCAGACAATGTTTAGGAAATGGATAACAAATGATATTGGAATACCGTCAGCAGAGTCTAGGTGTATATACCTTTTTATAAGAAATTGCGAGTATTGCAAATTCAATTTTCGCAGCATGCACAAATAATGAGAACGCAGGTGTAGTGCATGTATGGCCTGTAAAGTATCGAGATTATTATCATTATTTATTGTCAAAATGATGGGCGTGCGAAAGATGAGGAAAAGTATACGCGGGCAAGACGCATAATACTTGTTTTGTGTCTCGGAAAAGTCTCTAAAGCAGAAAAATGGACGATGACGTAAAAATATAACGGATTCACCAGAGACCCATTGTTGTTTTCTTCTTGCGTCATGACATTGGAAAGTTCAGCACGCATGTAACGCAATCATTTTTCTCAGTTATATTTAATGTATTATTTTGCTTTTATCTAAATTGCATCGTGATGCGCTAAAAAGATGTGCTCTCTTAAATGACAAAGGTGGAATTATGCAGAGTGCGGGAAAAATACAAAACTGAGAAAAGAAATGATATAAATAAATGCAAAAGTCTTTTTCACGAGAACACATGAAATTTTTCGTCTTCCAGAAAATCGAATTTGCAAAAATAGGAAGTGATATCTTTTTTCTACTTTTAACTCACATAATTTTCGATATGACATTATGTCATAAATCGATGAATTTATTAATAATTATAAATATAAATAAAAATATTATATAAGCCTTTCAAAAATCAAATTGATCAATTCTATTTTTTTGTAAATTTCTTAATTTTAATGTTAAATTTTAGTATTGATTTTACTATTAATTTTAGTAATAAAAAGGATATAATTAATAGTCTAGTACCAAAAGAGAAAATAGAATTAATCAGTTTATTTTTTGAAAGGCTTCTCTCTCATAAGAGGAAATGAAATTAATATCGTAAAAAGAATATATAATCACGATCAAAATATAAACAAACTAATTCCGTTTGAAACAGGTTTGGCCGTAACATACAAATTGTGCCGACCGATTTCGATTTGTCTGCGGTGTGTTCGGCACTCATGTCGAATGACGCGATCAGCGACGCGGGGCTTCATCCGGATGTGACGAGGTTGTTTCGCCTTTGCAACAATCTGAACAAGATCACTGGTGAGATCAGCTTGGATAGCCTCGAGACCAATTCGAATCATCGCGAGTGAACTGGTGTACTACTCGTCTAACTCGTCCGAGATCCGAGATCGTTCCGTGCAGAGTCACTGAGGATTCGATGGCGGATGTCAACGAGGATCGCAGCACTTCAGTTTATCGAAATGATTTTGGTCACCGCGATTGAAACGCATTTGGCTTTGAAATGACGACCGGATCGCATTACTATCAGCGCGTATCTGTATTTAAGCTCTTCTTACTTAATTTCATCTGTCATCTAATTAAACAAACATCAATTTGTTTGCGATAAATTCCCATCTAAATCTTTTCTACGAAATTATAAAAGAACAATAAGAGATCCATTTGCAGAAAGCAAATTTTGTTCTTTATGCCTTTGTTATCAATCCAAATTAAATATGATTATTCGAAAATTAAATTGAAATCTAATTTTATTAATCTAAATTTTTCTGTGATAAAATTTATTGCTTCTTTATTTGATAAACAGAAATTAAATTGATTAATCATCAACTTTTCGTGTAACTTACATTTGTTATATTGCTTAATTTGTTATATTGCTTAACATTAATAATATCTAGTTTTATCATCTAGTTTTAAATCTTATATTTGCATTATGCATATTATATAATTGAATAAAGCAATTGACAATTATATTTTTTAATCTCTTCTGACTATATGCTAAAGATTTTACAAAATATTACCAAAAATAAGATACATCCTATATGCAATTACAATACATCATTCTGATTTATTATTTTCATAAGAAAATATTTCATAAGATGACAAGCTATGGAAATATAATTGTTTATTTATTTATAATTATATTTCGTTTATATTATTGGATTAATAATATGATATTTGCAGCTGAAGGATTAATCGGCCATTATATTTTTTTTATTTTCAAGAAAATGAGCGCTGAATATGTTAACAGCATATATTAATAGCTGATAGTGAATGTTGAACCGCGAATGTCAAATCGAGTACTAACGCTGTACATCCACCTGCCTCACTAACATATTCAATGTACATAGAAATGATTTTTTGACGATTTGTCGTTTTAAAATGCCGTTGATGTAATCGCATACGAAAGATTCGTATTGTAATCGTGCACACTTTTTCTGTTGTGTCGGCGCGAATAGCGAATTCGGTTGAACGTAGTAGTGCGCACTAATATATGACTAAAGATTTATAGTCAGATGTTTAAATTTAAATCACCAAGTGCATAAGTGTGGCATGAGAATATAGTTACACAGAGGAGCACCAATAATAAATTTTTTTTAGGATTTTCGCTTACAATGTGTTACTAAATACATGTATATTCTATTATAATATAATTAACTGGTGAAAAGCAACTATCATTTGTCAAAAACTATTATTTTATTTTTAATTTAATATTATTATGAAATTTTATTTTTAATGTTAATCTTTAAAATAAGTCTGAAAAATTATCTTAATTATATCAATTTTGATGTTGGGGTCCCTTTCTGCATAACTAGGATCATTTCTGTCAGCTAGTATAGTGATTTATAGCCAGATCATTTAGAGTATCATTTGGCGAGCCGTTTATATCGCCGTGCGTAAATGATTCTATGTCACTTTGTACGCGGTGACGTTTTATATGCGCATTAATGCTCTGTACTACTTCATCTAGCCGGATTCGCTATGAATAAAAAGTAGGATCGATTGTCGATCTTCAGCTCGAGCCTATGATAAAGTATTATAAGAATTTGTCACAATGTCAAAATGCATTGTCCCCGGTAGCCTACGCCGTTGTTATGATGTATGTAAATTTATTACGTAACTATATATAATTAAAAAGAAACAAAGTGGCTGGATGTGTGAACTTGTTTCTTGTACGATACACCTATCCCATTTTTTAAATTAATCACTTGTTTTTTTTTAATTTTATTAGAAAGAGATACTTTCTCTAACGATTTTACTCTTTCACTTTCTTATGTACTTACTTATATTTTCGAGAAAAATATTATTTACATAATTTTCTTTTCTCTTATTTGATTAAGATTTAGCTACGTTAATCTACGAATAAAAGAAAGGATCTTCAATGCATTTCATGAACAAATTTTGTATCTATATTTCGAATACGAGTTACGAAGAAAAAATCATTTTTGTTTTAATACAAGAAAAAAATTTGCATAATTTTTCACTTTTAAGTCTGACTTTTGCTTTGAGGAAAACTTTGAGGACATTAATTCAAAATTGGCTTTATAAAAAAATACATAAATGAAAAAGTTGATATAGTTGAGAGTCTCTCTACATATACACTTAATTTTTCTTATCATATATAATTAATTTGTCGTTTAAATATTATAATAGTTATCTTTGCATTCTGCTTTTTTCTACATTTTTTAATTTTTTATTATATATATTTCTGCATTTTTCTACATTTTTTATTTTTTATTATATATATTTTTACTATATAATATAATGTTCTGATTCTATCATTATATTCTATCATTTTGTTTTTTTATATTATATACGTTTCTATCAATATCACTCATTATTAATACTTAACCATTACCAATGTCAAATTGCGCTTTCACGTTTTTATATTTTTTCTATATAGTTTTCGAGTGTTTATATCAAAGCAAAATAAAATTTCTCATTTATATCAATTTTTATTTATCTCTCTCATCTAATATTAAGGATAATTACGGTTACAAACGTTCAACATATCACAGGTATATTCTTGTACGTGTTGCAACATATTAAATATATTTTTTCATATATATCACACATATTTCTCATATATCACAGGATATCATGTACATCAATTTCACTCTTTTTGTATTGGTTTCTTGAATTGTTACAGATGTAGCGCACTAAAAGCGAAAATGACATACGTCTCTGGGAAAGATAAATAATCACGCATAGGACGAGTGGAAGAAAATAAATTCGCGGCGGCGGGAAATGAAGAAGAATGTGGCGGAGCGCGTCAGCGACGTATGAGCTTTGGATTTATTCGTTATTCGCAGTCACGAAACTCTCGCGATCCATTAATCGGGGAATTAGAAGAAAGAGATCATCTCTCTCACTTTCTCTCTCTCTCTCTCTCTCTCTCTCTCTCTCTCTCTTTCTTCGCCACTGCAGTAATAACGTCAATGCCGTACAATGCTCAACAACAGTATGTGATATGGTCACCGCTCTCTCTGGTAAATCCTCGCCTCTGTGCTTTTTTTTTGATACATGACACCTTCCCCGTGTTTAATCCGCGTTCTGAAGATCAACCTAGCTGACAGCATTATAAGGTTTCGCCGAATCACATATGTAGATGCAACCATACAGTCTAGGCCTAGCATTTCTTGAGCAAGCACGCTAATATTGATGTAAAAAGAAAATCATCCCCGTAAGTAAACATACTTATAATAGTAATGTGCTATATAAATGTTTCACAAATATTTCTCCTTTTTTGTATAGTATAAAAAAATTTCGTAAGGGAACGTATTAATATTTGTTCTACTTTAATGCGCAGAAGACATTTTATATAAAATCGTATTAAATATTTTTTTTATTACATGTCCTTTTATTTTTAGCATTCGAGCAATTAACAATTGACAATACCAGAAAAGATTGTACTGATGAATTAAATCTCAAAAAAAAAAAAATTCATACATAACATCATTAACGTACACTATAATTAAAGTATAGCAGTTAATTTTAAACAGTTTATTTTAATAGATTTTTATTCGGAATTTTAATGAACTCGATATTTTGTGCGATTAAATCTTATAAACTAATAAAATAAAGAATTTATAAACATTGCTTATCGTTTGATCGTGAAATTTTATAATATTAATTTATAATAAATAGTAATAGTACATTTTTAATTAAAAATCTGTATATATATTTTATAATTATTAACTATGAACTCTCTTTGAGAATTACCATTCTAATTGATCTAAATTCCTTGTAATATATATGTCAACATAGGAAGCCCTATTTTTACGCTATTATTGTATACATCTATATCTATGTGTATTATTATATATTTCTCTCTAGCAAATTAAATGTTACATATCATGTAACAAATTTCTTTCATTTTATTTTTGTTAGAAAAAATTTTGCCAACAATTACAATTTTCATAATTTTTATAATACTAATTTTAAATATACTATATTACATAGGATAATTTTAATTTAATAATTTTCTTATTAATTTGCAAAGTTTATAAATTAAATATCCATAATTTCTTTTGGTGCTGAAACGAATACAATGTTCAAATAATTTATGGAAATTAGATAAAATTAGATAGGCATTTTTTTATAATTTCGAAACTTTGTTTAGTTATATGTGAATAACTTGCGAGGACACGTTACAAAAAAATGAATTCATCGGAATCGCAGCAAGATTTACTTTCGAACGAGGCGAGATCGTTTTCAGTGCATTCGTTACAGACGCCTATTGACTATATTCTTGGCCCAGTCGAGAAGCATTTCCTGCTCAGCGCAGAACGAGGTGATTGTGCTACTGTCAAAAGGTAATCCTCCACTTAATGCACCTGTAAGGATATCCTGGCAAAGAATAAAATAAACTAGATTTTGAGATAAATTCCGCCTGTTTCCGTGATATAGACTAGATTCTAAGCGTGTATAAAATATTATTATTACGCGAGGTGTGATGTATCCATAAAACTTTCAACAGAATCGAAACGGCAGAAATATATTACTTTAAAGTGTTCCAAAATTATATATTGTAAATTCTCTATTGCAGATTTTTTCAACTAATTTCGAATCGATTTTTTTTAACGAAATTATAAAAGTATATGTATAATTTAGAATACTTAACGATTAAAAATGAAAGTATTATAGTGTACAAATTTTAGATATATTTTAACATAATATTAGTTTGAAAATTAAATATATGTATAATGTGTCGAAAATATAATGTGTTGAAAAAAAGTAATGATCTCACACACAAACTGTACATTTTTATTGAAAAAAATTATGTCTAAATTCAAAGAAACTTCGATTATAAAAATATCTGATTAATCTGTATGGATTAATTTTGTATTAATATATAAATTCTAATTAAACAACCATATAATTAATTAGAAAACTTATTTTAATTGTAAAATATTGCAAGTTTAGAAGAAATCTTATGTAGAATGATCTTTCTGCGATAAAATTTCCATAATTATTGGTAATATTTTTTATGAGTAACTTTTGTATGGCGGAAATATCATTTTAACAAAAACATATTAATTATAATACAATTTATTAAATAGATTAATTGAGGAGAACAAGGATCATCCCGAAATATTAAATATTAATTGCGTCGATCCACTAAATCGATCAGCACTGATAGCCGCTATCGAAAATGAGAACATCGAGCTCATTAAGCTGCTGCTTGAATTAGGAATCGAAGTAAAGGTAAGTATCGTGGGGTCGAAACAGCGCGATGTCTCTCATGAAAATTATCCGACTGTCGCTCCCCTAATTATTGTGAGTAATGCGTATTAAGCTGATATACCATAATCGATGTCTACCGGGATACGCTAACTGCAGTTCCGTGCATATGTTCGATGTTTTGGGTCATGTTATATATCAAAACGGTGTACAGTTATTATACGTGACAATATTATAAATTAACTGCATTACACTGTGTCTCCTAAGCTATATTCCTAAGAGCGTAAAACACTTAAAACCATAATTTGTGCATCTTTAAGGATGCACTCCTGCATGCTATTAAAGAGGAATATGTAGAAGCAGTGGAGATCTTGCTAGAATGGGAGGAACAAGTACACAAGCTAGGGCAACCTTACGTAAGTCTCAATACGATCTTAATTAATTTTGACATTGATTTAATGTCAATTTTTGTCGATAGTAATTGTTCTTTTCAGTATAATATACATATAGTCTATATTTAGTGAAAGATGATTTATAATAAGTGTATTCAAAAGAGAGAGAGAGGAGGGGGGGGGAGAGAAATGATATATAATTTATGATAAGTATATTCACATTCCAAAATTAATTTAATTTTCCTTGAAATATTCTTGAACTCAAAAATTTAAAATTCTTATTTTTATATGTATTTATTTATTTAAAATTTTAAAGAATAAATAAACTATCTTTTAATTATCGAAAATTGTATTCTAAAGATAATCAGAAATTTTTTTCTTAATAAATATTACAATTTTCATAGTTATTACGTATTTCTCATAAACAATATTGTTTTATATATTTTACTTTATTTTATATTATTTTTAACATATGTATCTCATTTACAAGACAGCTATATTTTATTCGAAACAAACTTATTTTACCTTTAAAGTTTATGCGTTAAAATAATTAAATAACTTTCATAAGTAAAATATATAGAATGTAATTTTTCTATTCATTTAATAATTTTACTTTTAATGTAAGAAAATTAAAACAATTATGATTCAATATTTACTAATATTTTTTATGTTACGGTCATAACTTTTAATGGATTAATCGTAACTGAGAAAAAAAACGATATCTTTACATCTTATTTTAGAGTTGGGAAGCTGTAGATTCGTCGTCAAATTTCACACCTGATATAACACCATTGATCTTGGCAGCTCATAAAAATAATTATGAAATATTGAAACTACTTTTAGATCGCGGTGCCACTCTTCCAACACCTCACAATGCTAGGTATATAAAAAAAGAATAAAGTGATTTAAAATAGCATTCTTCAATTTATTGTTTTAACATTTATTTTTTAAAATTAGATAAATATCTAATAATTCGAAAAATTATTTATCTCTAACAATTTTTTTTTAATTAAAATTTTGTTATTAATAGTAAAAAATATTAACATAAAATTAATTATCTTTTTTTATATATTCATTATTAGTCAAATAAGATTGTTTAGGAAAGAAAGAAAGTAATGTTTTAATTTTATTGTAGATGCGGTTGCGATGAATGCGTCAGTTCTAGTGAACAAGATTCTCTTCGACATTCGCAATCTCGAATAAATGCGTATCGCGCTCTTACCTCATCATCTTTAATCGCGCTTTCATCAAAAGACCCACTTTTGACGGCCTTCGAGCTTTCATGGGAACTTCGTCGTCTCAGCAGAATGGAGCAAGAATTTCGTGCCCAATACAACGTATTTAATTTAACAAACATCCTTCTTTTCCTCTTTTTCTTCCTTCTTCCTTTTTCCTTTTTTTCTTCTTCGAGTTATTTGAACTCCTTCAAATTGAAATTTATATCTTGTTTTAATTTTCGATAATTTGCATACAATATATATAGAATATTTTTTAATATGCAAACATATAATTTCAGCAATAAATATAACAAACTTAATTAGAAAAATTTATATAAAAATTTTATTTATTTGAAATTTGTTGACTATAATTGAAAAAAATTAATTATACTGAAAACTGTATTAAAATTATCATGTATGATACAAAGATTATTGATAAAAAACGAATGTAACTTGAAAAACAAAGTTGAAATTTTCTTTTACTTATTTATACTAAATTTAAATACATTACATATTCCGTCTGTAAAATATTAAATCAAATGATTCAATTTAACAAGTTCAACTTAGAGATTTTTTACGAATGTATTTTATATTCTTTTAAAATAATTATAAAAAATTATAAAAATACTATAATATAATTATAAAAATATATATACTACAGTATATAATTACTATAAAATAAAACATTGATTATATTGATCGTCAGGAAATGCGGGAACAGACGCAACAATTTTCAACTGCTCTACTAGATCACGCACGTACATCTTACGAATTAGAAATAATGTTGAATTATAACCCAACTGGAGAAAATTGGGACCCTGGGGAGAGACAGACCTTGGACCGACTCAAACTAGCTATTAAATATAAACAGAAGCAAGTATGAAGATTTTAAAATACTTTTTATATAATAATTGAGTCCATGTATTTATATTTCTTCACAGGATATGCAAGATATGAAAAAAATTAAAATAAATTTGAAAATAATAACAGTTAAAAAATATATATATATAAATATATAAAAATAAAAATTATTTTATATATAGAAATTTTATTTTTTTACTATATAGGATTAAATTATGTTATATATAATATATGCTATAAATGAATATATTGTTTTATACAACAATTATTAATTGAACATTTATGGTTTATATTTTTTTGCTGAAGTTTGTCTCCCACCCAAATGTACAACAATTATTGGCTGCTATTTGGTATGACGGTCTTCCAGGATTCAGGAGAAAAAGCATGATAGCACAATTTCTGGAAGTTATTAAACTCGGGGCAATGTTTCCGGTTTACAGCACTATTTATATGATAGCACCTACTTCGCAAATGGGATTATTTATGAAGAAGCCATTTGTCAAATTCATATGTCATTCCGCATCATACGCTATTTTCCTAAGTTAGATCGATTATGCTTTATCGAGAGTATTCTTTTATGTCTTAAAGTATTTTAATTTGATCAATCTGATTTGCAGTGCTTCTTGGTATGGCATCCCAAAGAATTGAATATCTTTTAATCGAATTATTTGGAAACAAATGGATGCGAGAGATACTTGCTGACTGGAAAAAACGAGAACGCGGTTGTATTCCTGGTTTCGTCGAAACAGGCGTGATCATCTATGTGATAAGTAATATGGTTATATACATCATAACATTTAATAATTTCTAATTATTTTTAGCATAATATAAAAACATAATATAAAAAATGACAAATTATTGCACGATAAATTTGCTAAATATCTTTAGCAGATATATTTACAAATTTATTTCTTATTTTTGATAAAACATAATCGTATTTCTTTTTCTTTTTCTCTTTCTTTAGGCTTGATTGTTGGCGAAATTAAGTCTTTATGGGCGGACGGATTGATTGAATATATATCGGATCTATGGAATATTGTTGATTTTATTCAAAATACTTTTTATGTAATTTGGATAAGTTTACGTATTGCGGCATGGTGGATAGTTCAGGTAAATTTTATTCTATTTTTATCAAAAATATATAAACGTGACTAATACAATCCGATAAAATTGATCAAAGCCAACTAATTAATTGCAAAATTGAGTATGTTATAAAATGCTTAGTGATTACAATCAACTAGTAACTCTCTAATTTTATACAAACATTATCACTTATATATAGAGTTATTATATATAGAGACTTATATATATAGAGTATATTAATATATTTCAATTGTCATACATGCAAATAATCAAGATGTATCTATCCTCATATTTAATTATTTTATTCAAAAAATTATGTAATCAACATCACAAAATTTATGTTATATTTTTTGTATATTTTTTTCGTGAGAAAAATTTAAACTTATCTCTTTTTTCGATTATATGGTAATTTATCGGTTATTTATCGCATTGAATTTTATATAATATTTTTTTTTATATCAATCATGTTTTCCATATCATTATACAATTAATATAATTATATTATAAAATAGAGAGAATATTGGAGTGGTTTAGATCCTTGGTATCCGAGAGATCAATGGGACGCATTCGATCCAATGCTTCTTTCGGAAGGAGCATTTGCAGCAGGAATGATTTTCAGGTAATTCTCGATCGAACGGTTAGGCTTAGAAAATGTTTCTTTCATCAACTAATATCTTATATACGTGGGTGGACTGTTTCAGCTTTTTAAAACTCGTTCATATATTCAGCGTAAATCCTCATCTCGGGCCACTCCAAATTTCCCTCGGGAGAATGATAATAGACATTATCAAGTTCTTTTTCATCTACACCCTCGTACTATTTGCCTTTGGCTGCGGTGAGTAACATGTCTTCCGATTATTCTTTCGTCCGCGGAGCTCTCTATTGTCTCTCATCGCGCTTAATTGAAAAGTCATCCCACTGTTATTATTTTTCAGTCATAATTTTCAATTCTTTTTTTCTTTCTTTTCATTGACTTTCATTGAAGTGGATATGCTGTGTGCATTGTAACTGCAAAGTAAAACAATAATTTGTGTTTCAAACTCGTACATTGCTTCAGGTATGAATCAATTGATGTGGTATTACGCAGATTTAGAAAAAAGGAAATGTTATCATATGTCTGACGAGGTACCGGATTTTGATAATCAGGAGAAAGCTTGTTCCATATGGAGAAGATTCGCTAAGTATAAAAATCAATTAAATATAATCTCTCTAGAGAAAATATCTCTAGGGAAAAGTTTCTAAACTTTAATTGATATTTTTAGCTTGTTTGAAACATCGCAGTCTCTTTTCTGGGCAAGTTTTGGCATGATCGATTTGATGTCGTTCGATCTAACGGGGATTAAAAGTTTTACACGATTCTGGGCACTCCTTATGTTTGGTTCTTATTCCGTGATAAACGTCATAGTGCTGTTGAATATGCTGATCGCTATGATGTCTAATTCTTATCAAATGATTTCGGTAAATAACAATTTCCTTTAAAAATATTAAAAATGTCCTGTGATAAATTTTTACATAATCTTTTAATACAATGTATATAAATATATCAAATACAAATTTATATTTTACATTAATATTAACGCACTTACGTACTTTTAGGAAAGATCTGACACAGAATGGAAATTCGCTAGGAGCCATTTGTGGATGAGTTACTTCGAGGATGGTGATACTGTACCACCACCATTTAATATGATCCCGACGAGTAAAACTTTTAAAAAGCTACTAAAATATGGAAGAGGCGGTCGTTCCACAAGATCTTTTATCGTAAGTAATTTATATATATTTATATATATTATTTAGTAATTTATATATATTATATATATATATATATATATATATTTAGAACACATTTTATATTTTTTTATTATACATTTTTTATTAATTTTTTATTAATTTTAAATCGATTTTTTAACAGAATTTTCACGATATTATAAATAAAAAGCTTTTAGTAAATCAAACTTCATGTCATATATACATCAGATATAAAATTTCAAGAGAGATAATTAATAATATCTTCGATGAAATAAAAATTAATACGATCCAACCACGACTAAAATATTGCAATCACAATGTACTTATGACTTAATATATTTAACAATTTTATTTCAGAAAAAGTCTCGAGAGAAAGCTATGATCAGACATGACACTGTATTGCGTTTGCTTATACGTCGTTATGTGACAGCTGAACAAAGGAAACGAGATGAATTTAATATCACGGAAGATGATGTCAGAGAAATTCGACAGGATATTTCAACATTTCGATATGAACTGATTGATATCCTTAGAAAAAACGGAATGCATGCACCGCAACTTGACAAAGAAGAAACAACCAGTCAGTATATTTATATATATACATATTTATATGTATACATAATTAAGCTCTACTTATCATGTAACTCACACACACATGATATTCGCTTTCATTACGCAAAATCATTAGTTTATAAAGATTCCTAGCAGTTTCTGAAATAAAATTAGCGGCATATTGTAAAGCAAGTTTAAATGCAACTTTCATGTAAGATTTTTAGATAAAGATTTTAGATAAAAATTTGACACATTTATATGATAAATAGGACACATTAAGTTAATTGATTTTTATATATATGTATGTGTGTGTGTGCGAATAATTATTACTCACAAATATGTATATGAAATTGCTATCAAAAATGAAACATATAACTTGAAATTCGAGAAATAATACATCTTTGTGAATCTTCGAAAAATTAATTAGGTGCAAAGGAATTTCTCTGTTTCTCTTTCTCTCTTCCTTCTAAAATATATTTTCGATTTTAGAAATATTAGAAATAAAATATTATAATAGTGTCAAATTAAAAAAGAACCATAGTAATCATTTTCAAACGTATATGTAATTGACAATTGACTTTATATTATGCATAGAACTTTAAACATATATTATAATTTACTCTATAAATGAAAGTATGAAAGGCATGAACTCGAACGATATAAATCAAAGATAAAAAAGGAAAGCCACAAATAATGAGCAAATGAATTAAATGCGTGTGCGTATAATAATGTAACTTGCATTTGAATATAAATCAATTTATATTATAAACATTTCAATCTGAGATTTTGGATTTTTTTCAGTATGAGAAATGGCAGAATAATAATCGCAAAAACATAATATCAACGTCCGTAATATAAATTGCTTGTATTCAAGTGCAAGTGTTACATTATTACACGCATACACATTTGTATCCGCAAGTTTATTTGTTTGTTATTTGGTCACCTTGATTTGTCTTTGATCTATCCTATTATACATATAATACATATGTTTAGCAACGTTTTCCAACAGAATTTCAAAAAATCAAGAAATGTTAATTCATTTCTTCCTAAATAGAATTATACCCAATTAAAAATCTCGATTTTTAATATTTTCGAAAAGTGAATATATCTGCGTGATTTTATGTATCTTCTAAAGTACCCGGCAAGAAGGGCAAAGTTATGGAACGTCGTCTGCAGAAGGACTTTCAGATTGGTATCGTAGAAGGCATCATACAAGCTGTTATTCAAAGTGAAAAGGAACCGAAGGATGTGTTTAGTCAAATCGCAAAAGTTATTGGACGGAAAGGAAGTAGTAGCAATAAAAAAGATTGGAATGCCGTAGTAAAACAAAGTACCATCGCAATGGATCCAATAGGAAGTACAAACGAGGCGGTGCAACGTCAAACCAGACGCAGTTTACGTCGTCATCTGCAACATCAACCCAATTCTGATTTAGCATCTATGGATCCGAATCGATTGATTGATTATAATCCGAATCTTTCGGGAGTTACACCGACAACCAGAATAGCCTATGCCAAATTTATGATGAGCAAAAATAAATCAAACGAGCAATCTGACGGTCAGTTTATATTTAAATTTTCTTATCTGCTCTCAAATTGCTTTTTAATTTTCGATAATTTTTTTTTGTAGAAATAATGTTAAAATAAATTATACTAAATATTGTGTACTAATACATACATACGAATACAATCATTACCTTTCATTGAATTGGTTTTTTTCTTACTGACATTTGATGAAACAATTTATAATTATTTAAATTTTATTACATCCTAAAATTAAATAATTTATATACACGTACATTAATAAATAAATTATATAATTCTCTTCTATCCTATTATATCGTTATGATATATATAATAATCAAAAGATGCAAATATCAAAACTGCAAATATATAAATAATATTTGTTTTTTTATTTAAAAAATAATATTTGCTTTTTTATTCAGATATAAATGCTTCTCCGAATGTAAACCAGGAAAATGTCGAAGCTCTTCAAAAAAGCACGATAATATTGAAATCTGTGAACAGCAGTAGTGTGAACAAAGCAGAAAAGACACTTGACCTTAAAATCACTGAAATCAGGTCTCCTTCGCCCATACTTGAAGATCCTATAGAAGAGGAAGTTAGCAAGCAGTCAACATCTTTAGAAATGTTTGATAAGGAGAAGAAAATTAAAGAAAAGGATAATTACAAAAAGGGAAGTTTGCAAGAACAAAAGAAAGATGGAGAGACAAGTGAGGCAGAAAAGTTAGAAGAGCAAAGGACAGAGAAAAAAGAAAAAAGTGAAGAGGAGCAGTCCGGAGATATAGAGAAGAATAACAGCAAGAAGACCGCGGAAAAGATATCGGAAACAAATAAAGGAAATGAAAAAGAGGAAAATATTGAATCTGATACGATGAAATCAGTAGTCGCACCTATTCAAACTACACAATTACGAGGAAAGTCAAAAGCAACGGGTAAAATAATGGGGGGTTGGATCTGAATTCATAAAATATCGAACTGAACTTTAATGTTTTTTTTTCAAAATTTATTTTATATTATTTGTTTGTATACATAATGTGTTTGCGCACGCATATTGAGCGTTAATTATATTTTATCTTTATCTAAATAATAAATAAAATAAAGTCTTGAAATACGCCATTCGATATAAAAAAAAATAACTCGTGAGTGCTTAGCATAATTCTGGAAAAATTACTGGATGTAGATCACTGGAAATGGATTTGTTTCATTCGCAATGTAAGCGCAATTTCATAATCAATATTCTCTATAATACGAGTTATCTCTACTCGTATATCTGTGTTCGCAGAATATATTATTTTTATTATATATATCACATTTACCTTTGTTATATATCACTGTTACCTTTGTGATATGTTATATCACATTTTGTTACATGTATCATTTACATTTTAAGTATATTTTCATAATCCAATTAATTATGATTATTTTATAAATGCATTAATATATATCATTAATATATATGTTCAATTTTGTATTAAATAAATATTATTTATATTGTTTATAATATGGGAAATTTAAATTTAAGTTTACTAAATTTACCTATAAATTATAATTTAACTTAAAAGAAGAATAAAATTTGCTTTAATTTATTGCAGAATTTTGTTAAAAATAAATTGCAGGTAACATTAGAAATTTTACAAAGTTTGTTTGTCACTATATTATGTATCTATATAAACGCAATGAACAGGTGATGAATGATTCATTTATATTCGCAAATGTAATAGCTGGTTTTTCCTGTTTGTACACGTTTATTTGTAATTTTAATGATTCATATTGAAATTACACTCGTGTCATCATATATATATTTTATATATATAAATATAACTTTTAGGACGAAGATATATATTACTATACTATATATATTATATAACAGCAAATATATAATAATTGTAATTTAATAAATAAAATTATGCAGTTAATACTATCCTCCTATAATAGACATGTATTTTTTACAATAGATTATAATTAGTTACTTAATATTCAGTATCAGTATTAAATAATCATATTTTAGATATATGCAAAATTTCAATGCTTTATCTAAGCTGATAAATATATATAAGTTGCTACTTATTATTATCTCTTTCGATCTTTAGATACATAATATATTTTTAAAAAATGAATGCGTGATTTCATATATTTTTAAAATACTGAATAAAAAAGCAAGAAGATGTATCAAAGTAATGGAAACGAAATAGGGAGGCAAGAGAGGAAAAATTAGAAGGAAAGAAGAGAAGGAAAAAATGGAGATAAACGTCAGCAATTGGAAAATACAGAGAAAAATAAGTTGATGAAGTCAGGGGAAGGCCTCGGAAATAAATGAGGAATATAATTAAGAGAAATATATTGAGAAAGAATCTGACATAAAGAAAAAGAGAGTAATAATTCAAAATATACAATTGTAAGGAAAGTTAAAAGGATCAAGTAATTGAGAGATTAGATAAATTTAAGAATAATTAATTAAAATTTACATATATTTTCTTCAAATTTTTTTATATAATCGAATAATAAATATTTTTTATAAATAATGTGATTGTATGCATTTTGAGCATTAGTTTTATTACAAAATCTCATTTATGTAAAGCATGTCTTTCAGTTGAATAATACGATTTAATAGAGAAAAGTATTTTATAATAGCGTATAAGGCCTTGGCATAATTCGTGGCGTGTATCATAAAACAGACTTTCCTCATGTGCAACTCAAGCGTCATTTCGGAATGTCTTGCATGATAAGTGATATTCAATATCGGCATACGTATTATCTATCATTCATATTTCATATTATTTCATTCAGGTACATTGTGTTTCCATAATTCGCAATATTAATCTTATATTTACTTTATAAATGCATCAATAATATGTTATCAACTGTATGAACACATTATAATAATTATACCGTTCATAATTTAAAAGTTAAATTAAAGGTTTAATTTCACTATGAGCTTAAATTAAAAATTAACTTACAAAAAGAATAAAATTCATTGCAATTCGCAGAATTAATTTAATTATATAATTAAACATTGAAAATTCCGCAAAGCTTGCTTGTTATAAGTCTGTAAAAGCGATAAGCAAATGACGCATGACTCATTTGTATTCGCACAGACATAATGATTGATTTTCCTTTTTCGTTTTTAAAGATCTCTAATGTCACGTATGTGATAAGCGGATTGTATTTAATACTACGATATAATTAATGATTCTTATCGGAATTACGCGCTTATCGTCATGGGCGATATCATGTATAGATATTACAATGACTTAATAAATAAAATAATATATCTTAAATCTCTCAAAATACTGCATTCTTCAAGATGTACATTTGCCGCATAATATTGCTAAGAAGGTTCTGAAAGATAAAATAAATAGCTTCTAGAAATGGCAAAATTAATTTAATACATAAGTGGTTCAAATGCCAAATAGTACAAGTCGATTTCGAGTATTAATTTGAGGTGTAAACAATGTAACCTAACATAAATTATATATAGTATAACTATATTAATTATTTATTTTCAAGATTAATGCGTAGTTAAATAATTTCTATGCATAGTTAAATCATTTTTATGTATTTGTGATAAAAAAATGCAAAAATCTGCATTTCTCAATCTCTTATTTTTTATATTTATATCACTTAGCGTCTGAGTCATTCACATAATAAAAACTCTCATATATATTCTACACTAATTTTTGTTAGTATTTAAAAAAAATTTCATATTAAATCAATTATTTCAAAAACGTTAAAAAATTTTGACAATAATATACATATTCTATATTTAAAAAAAAAACGTTGCTCTCTTTAATGAATATATTTTATATATTATATTAATTAGTAAAATTAAATGATATAAGAATATTGTTTTCATTACAATTAGTTTGAAATAACAATGTTAAAAATTTACCTTCGTTTATCCGTTCGTTCAACTTTTATTCCATTAGCAACAATACGCTTTTTCTTTCTATTGACCTTTTTATCTTCCTGTAATGTATAATCATATCCGATATCATATCTGATATAATATTTTTAATTATATATGTTATAGAATAAATTATTTTTAATATGTGTCATTTATAAAAATGTTAAATTTTTATTTTGTTTTGAATCAGATTTTTGAATACTATGTTGAAACTAATAATTATTTTTTATCTTATTAATCTCAAACTTATTAAATCTTACATCTTTAAGTTCACCAATTAAATATTCTTTAAGTATCTTTTTTGCGTCTGATGAGTGACCAAAATCGTCGAATCCATCTGTCGCATCCTTTCCCGCATATTCCTCAATTAATTCTGGACCGCCAGGATGCTATAATTTTAATTTATTTACCCCATAATATTTTTATCAAATTTTATGTATCGAATTACTTGTAATAGCTTGTAAGAAATTACTGCAATATCTTGTAAAAAACAATTTATATGAAAATTGATAATTTATAATAATAACCATCATAATAAAATAAAATAATAGAATAAAGTAAAAACAGACAAGTTAACAAAAATTACACATATAGGATATGATTAAAATAAAAATGCCTTTTTTGTGTTAAACTTGGATTTTTTGTCATAAGTTATATAATTTATTTATATGAGTCATAAGTTATATAATTTATTGTCATAAGTTATATAATTTATTTAGTTATATAATTTATTTTAATGATATCTATGAATAAAAGTAAAAAGATTTTTTTAAGAAAAAAATAAAAAATTTTGAAATTTTTTACATAAATCTTCTTTTAATTTATTTTTTATTACTTTCGAGATTTATTTTCTAGTATATTGTTCTTTATTTTTTTAAGGCATTTTATTTTAACATCAGTTTTTAATCATCACGCTTTGATAGTCATTGCAATATAATGTGTCAAAATAATTGAAAATAATTTAGATTAGATTTAAAGACAGAGACAAACTATCAATTCTCAATTAATATTTTTTTTTCAATTGACGTTCTTAAAAACATAAAGTATCGCTCAAAATACTTCTATTACATTTTATGTTTTGTAAATTTATGAATCGCTAAAAAATTGAATTGCAATAAAATATTACGCGCTTCTCATATATTTAATCATATATGAATATATAAATTATAAACTATTGTAAATGTACCTGAGCCATGTAATCCGTTACATCGTAAACGTTATCATAAATCACAATCCAAGTTCTAGATCCGTTTGTACCATTGCACTTTGCGACATCCGCCAGTGAATACCGAATCACCGAATTGGACATTCTTCGATGGAGTCTCGCGAAAGAAAGAGAAGAAATCCATTCGCGTTTGTGATATAAGTAACATATACAGATCTTTTCGAGATGGTATTCCCAGCACGAATAGGGAAGCACGAATGATAAGCATATCGCAATTTAGACACGTAAATTGTATCTATAGATAATTCTGTATCTATCGCTGTTTCAGTTTTTTTTTCATCAACATAGCTGATGCAAAAGTAAATAAGTATCAATTTTAACATATAATTGCTTATAATTAAGCAATTATACGTTATAATACATTATTATATAAGCAATTATACGTTATAATACGTTATTATACGTTATAATATATTATACGTTATATACGTATTAAACAATTATTTTTTTATCTGATCAATAAAATTGAATGAATCTAATCCATTTTTTTACTTGTCCTTTAGACAGATTTAATTCCATAAATAGCATATTGATGAAAAAGTTTTTTCTTGAATATGAACTTTTGAAAAATTAATTAAAAAATCTTATTCTTATATATAAAACATTTAAATAATGACAATAATAAAATATTTTATATCAAATATATATTTATATTTATTAATATTTATATAAATTATTATTCATAATATTTTTGTCAATGGAATTCATATATTTCAAATACGCATCATTAGGGACTTTTCAATAGATTCGTTTTATCTCGATAAAATAAAAACTTTACAAGAGGAACTTTATCAGAAACAGTCAGGAGGGAAATTCATTCAATCATTGCGAAATCGCTGAATGATATTATGACGAGCATAAAAAATCTAAACTTGGCGCTTAAGAAAATTTTGTAGAAAATTGATCATAATTAATTCTAAGAATGTTGCTTAAAAATTTCATTTGAGAAACCTATATTTTTTGAAATCTATTATCGCTTTAATATATGTAATATAATATAATATAATATAATATTATGGTGTAATAATAAATAGTATATTTAAATGTTTCTCAAGAAATTTCTAACAATAAATAGCATAGGAAATATTTGTTTATTATTGTATTAGTTATTATTACAATTTAAATACTCTCATAACAATAATTGTTATAAATAATTATTAAAAATTGTTTTAATTTTTAATGCTTTTCTTAAATACTTTTATCTTATACATATCCCATTAAAATTGATATAATTTTTCACAAATCAATTATTTTAAAATTAAGGTAAAAGATAACTTAACGTTTCTCGATATAATGTTGTCAAAATTTTATCGGCAAAGTTATAGTACATATATATATCATATTGATATCTATACAATATAGCTGAATTAAAATTTAAAATATTTAATATTTTTAAAAAATAATGAAGTATTTTAATGTTATGTTCCAATTAAATACATTGGTAACGTTCTCGATTACGTATTATTACAGTTAGAGAAAATATAAAATACATGAAATGTTTTTTCGTATGTTGGCAGAAATATCTTATGTACTTTTCGCTACGCATCTTGGCCAGTATTGGCTGTCTATTTTGTATAGCCTATTCGTTCTTCATGCCAATTGGATTTATCTTTCGTTAATTCTGATTATTTAATCATTACATTACCTGATCATTTAATAATTTAATGACTTAAATGCGCGCGCTTAAATTGAGGAAAAAGAGAAACTCCTTCTTTCGTCGACTAATTACGTCGACTAATTGTTTGTTGCTGGCGGATGAACATAAACATTTCACGCTCGTTGATAATTGTATGATTTTATGATTCATTCATTACACGTACATTTGAATATAATTTTATTTTAACTTGTGAGATAAGGCTAAGATAATTAATATAATTTATTATAAATAATAATTTATAATAGCAACATAGAATTATATAACACATATAATTTATAAAATACAATATTATAATTACATATATAACAATATTTATAGATTAATAAAAAAAATATCTTATGTTATATATAGAATTACACAAAATGTGTGAAATGCGTACAATACAAAATTTATTCAAAGTTTTCAAAAAGACGATTAATTAAACAATATATCAATTCTTGATTTTTAATTACAAAATTTATTAAGAATTACAAGCAAATTATGCTATGAAAAAAACCTACTACATTTATCAATTATATCTTTTGTAAAAAAATATTTAAATTATACTAATGCATTTTGAGTTTTTAGGAAAATCAACGTCAAAAAATAAGTAAAACTTTGATAGCCAACGATCAAATAAAAAATAATAATTGCGATTATATATATATAAGATAAAATATGTTGATTCGTGGATAATTTGAAGATAATTTGAAAAGATCAGATTAAAATATGTTCGCGAATGATATGCCGGTTAATATCCGATAAAAACGATATATTAAACGCATAGAGAGCGATCGCAAATATTTTGCTTTACATCGGATCCTATATTAGGATTGATTTGCAAAGAAAAATTAAATGATCCGTCAAACGCCAAGAGTTCCGCTACAAGAGGAATAAATTTCAAATCTTCCGGGCTCTTCTTAATAGCAATGATTTCGATATTGTAATATTAACGACAAATATTATTATCATCTTCAATTCATAAGATCAAAATTTATGCGAAAAAACATTTTTCCATTATTCAAAAATATTTTTTCTTATTGAGAAATAAATGGTTCTAATTGTGTTTATGAAAATATGGTTACGAATGAGTATATTTAAAGATAATGAATTCTCTGTAATAAAGACAATTTCAATTTTTCAATATGAATCATGTATTCATTAATGTTTATTGACAGATATAACGAAAGATATGATGAGAGATAACGATAAGGTAACAATCGCGACTAAAATATAAAGAAGAAATGCTTTCTTAAAAAAATATATTATTTAATTAATTTCTTGTAATTCGACTTTAAAAAATCGGTCATTACTTCATTGTTAAAATCATTGCTCCTAGAAATTATCAAGAAAACCCGGATTTAATTCCAGCTCTATAACGGAAATCCTAAGTTTTCAACGAAGCATCGAAGACGTTGTAAATTAATTTCACAAGAACTGACGAAAAATGATCTTTCCGCAATAAAGACGATTTCGATTTTTCAATACGAATCACGTATTCGTTAATATTTAACTGATATTTGACTGATATAACGAGAGATATAACGAGAGATAACGATAACATAACAATCATGATCAAATTAAGAATGCGATAAAACGCGATGGTTGCAATATTATTATTATTTTATTTAATAAATATTTCAATACGGAATTTATGAATACATTAATTTTTTTTATATCAAATCTCCAACTTTTTAATAATTTAGTAGAATTGCGATGCATCGAAAAAAAGAGTAATAAATTTCGCGAGCGAGAAAGTCATATTGAATCATTGGTTTAATATCAAATTTTCACATATATTGTTTATTCATTTTTATATTATATTATATTATTTCATATTGTATATTAAAATAATTACAGAGATAATTGAAACCACAGAATTTAGAAATAAAAATTTTTTGTATTTATTGACTTTAGCATAAAAAAGAATAAATTCTGTTAAATTCTAGAATAATTTTAAAAGTTAAAGCTAAGAATATATCTTAAATATTATTTAAATGTGAATAAAAATTATGGGTGAATTAATATTAATATATATTAATTTTTTAACGTCACAATTTATAACTGAGAATCAAAAAAATATATGTATGCAAACATTTACTTCTTATGCAAATGACGTTGATTGCTTTAATCGCAATATATTAAATATCAATAATATATAAAGTGCGCCTTTAATAAACCGAATTTGAAGAAAATACTTGAAATATTACACCGCACTATAAACGCATATGTGACTAAAAATATATGATAGACTATTTGATTTTAAAACTTTTATTATGGCGGAATATTTTATATATTTTATATTTTATATGTGTTATATTATATAATCCTACTAATATAATCCTTTCAACTTTAATTTTCTTTCCCTTTCTCTTTCTTATAATTTATATAAATATAAATATAATGTAATTATCTGCAAATGCTGTCATTTTTGTGTGCTTACGTTGGTGCAGTAACAACATTACAAGTACTATATTTACACATATAACATGTATAATAAAAAAAGCACCAAGGATAATATTGTAGGCCAGCCTAAGTATCAATCAATTATTCCACCACTCAGTTTCATTAGATTTGCAATTTTCTTTTATAATATTATAAATAAGATAAAGATTTAGGCACATTTCAAATAAATTTATACATCTTATGAATGTAATATTGCACATTAAAAGGTGATAATATCACGATTGTAATAAGATACAATCCTGGCAATGTAGTGATTTTTTGATTTCACTGAAAATAATTTCATTTGATTTATTTTTTAGAATTGCACGCAATACTTAAGAGCAAATTATTTTTGTGCCATGTATTACCTGCATAAAATTCCAAGCACAGTATCATATTGCGATACATGAAAAGTTTCATTGATGAAATAATATAGTTGAATACAATTGAGATATAAAAGTAATATAATACTTGTAATGAATAATGTTAATACATAATACGTGGAATACATAAATATTTTATATTTTAGTTTCACGTAATTGAAATGAGATAATGAGATAATGAAATGAGAGAAGCGACACTCATGATTACTTTAAAAATGTATCCATAAATATCATTTAACTTTAATAGTTACACATTCGTCAAACTAATACTATTATGTTTAATACATCGTCACAGCAACTTGTTTTGATTAATTTAATTTAACCTAATCAATTATATTATATGCTCCTCATTAAAATGTGTAAAACTGTACCACTGTTACATTGCACATTTAATACGATTAATAAAATACTATGTAATAAAATGTATTACATTTAATACGATTAATAAAATACTATGTAATAAAATGTATTACATTTAATACGATTAATAAAATACTATGTAATAAAATGTATTACATTTAATACGATTAATAAAATACTATGTAATAAAATGTATTACACTAATGATTAAATATTATTTTTAAAAGCATGGTAAAATTCACGGAGCACATGCTCGTGTTTACATTCGACATCTGACATTGAGAGATTAGGTTAGGTTAGATAAAAAAAAATTATCGTTTGACAGTTGGCATCCCTACAA